TAAGTGCATGCACCTGCACAAATTCTCGATAGTTTCCTAAGAGTTTGGGAATGAAAGTAATGATGAGTTCTCTTAGGTGGGCTTGGAGATGTTGCTGGAGCACTACCCAAGGCTTTGGCTCGGCGTGGACACAGAGTCATGGTATTGTATTGAGTTCCTTGCAATGCATTGTACCCGAAAGTTATGCTAGAGAAAATGTATAAAATATGGGTGGTATCAATATCATTAAAATATAAAAGTACTGCATTACCTCTATGCTTCAGCTGCTCTGTGTTCTTACAAAATTTCTAACCTATCATTTTGTTTTGTTTTGTTTTAACTTTCCTCTGAAACTTGTAGGTTGTGACACCTCTCTATGGAAACTATGGTGAACCTCAACATGCAGGAGTTCGAAAAATGTACAAGGTTGATGGCCAGGTAAGTAAACAATTAATAACCATGTATTAATCATTGGGTTTGAAACCTCTGTTCATGAATGCTTGCAAATTTTTGCTAGTTATTTTTTCTTTATGCTTTGCAGGACATGGAAGTGAATTATTTTCAAGCCTACATTGATGGTGTGGATTTTGTGTTCATTGATAGTCCAATCTTACGGCATATCGAGAACAACATATATGGAGGAAACAGTATGGTATGCATCCCCTTCCCCCACAAAAGGGGAAAAGAATCAACTGTCTCTCAACTTCCTGGATTATTGTAATACGTAGTATTATCTTTGAAAAACCCATAAGCGTAGCCTCTTTATGATACTTTATCTGATCAGTTTTTACATGTCACTTTTATATAATACAGAGTACAATATATACCATAGTTCCTTACATCGTGATATTGATAGACATAGCTTATATCCCATGCTAGTTTTGAAGTTCCAATGCATTATAGCTGATCATATTACTTAGTTTGTCATTAGACTTGCGTAAAATGAGGTATTATTTGAGCATAGCTATAAATGGCATAACATTCTCTTTGTTTGTCGTTTCACTTTGTTTTAGCTTAATATTGGTTCAAAGAAATTTTGTAATGATTTATTGCAGGACGTTTTGAAACGCATGGTCTTATTTTGCAAAGCTGCTGTTGAGGTATGTTAGCTCTTGTATTGCACACTGTACGGCTCATGCTTCCTGTCAAAACCAACTGCACTGTAAATGTTCAAATCCGTAGATACCTACCCAATATCTAACATTTTGTGATACACAGATCGAACTAGGAAATATGGAACTTCTAGTCTAGATGTGAAGTCAACAACATAATCACTAAAATTTTCTATTACTCTTTTACTGCTACAAATAGAGAATGGGAATGGAAAAGTATTACTGAAAATAGGCAGCGTTTCGTTCAACTTATTTTTTCTGCTTATTACTTATTCTTATTATAGTCAGACCAGATCAGATAAGATCAGAAACAACTTTAATTAAAACTGCAATCAGATCAAATCAGATCAGATCTTCAAAAAATCAGACCAGATCAGATCTTCAAAAAATCAGATCAGGCAAACGGAACACGTCCTATAGTGTAATTATCTTCTTTTGTTTTTTTGGTCCATGTTGAGTTAATGGAATTGTTATACTCCCTCCACCCCAAAAAACTTTACCCAGTTTGATTTTCACCGAGTTTAAGAGAAGTGTATGATTAGAATTTGTGTAGATGAGAGAGACCTTTTGAGCCACATGTTCATTACTAAAAACAGGTAATACAGTAAGTGGGAAGAGTTTTTACAGACTTTCCAAAAAGAAAAAGTGTGCAAAGTTTTTTTTTGGGACTGAGGGAGTACTTACGAAGGGATTAAGTCACGTGATTATTGCTTTGTTGAGGGTGGAAATGAGTTCTGCAATTCACTTAGAGTCGTGTGTGCTTGATATTTTTATATTTTCAATACTGTCTAGTGTCTACTAAGAAACCTCTTTGTACCCACCTGTTGGTCTTCCTTCATGCACTTCTAATAAATTCAAAATTTATTGATATAAAATAGCTTGATAAGAAGCTGCCGAGTGAAAAGTAAATTAGAGAAAAGGTCAAATAAGCCTCCAAGCATTTGCGAAACATGCAATTATGCCCTCAAATTGAAGTGTCAAATAAATTCTCAAACAATAAACAAACACAATTAGACACTCTTTTACCCTTTGCAGTGTGTAAATAGGTCATTTCCATCATTTCCACATCACCACTTGCTCTAACATCTTAGTTCACTAAGTCATCATATTATTTATTAGGATTGTTTGTTTTGCTTTAGATGTTCTAGCTGCAATGGTAGCGCTTTGAGTAGTATCATTTGTCAGTCGTTGAAGGAGATGGCGTCGCGTTTGACAAGATAATGTGGGATAGGCTTAGTTAAGACACTTGGGATTGTTATGTTTTTTGTTGGGTGTTTTGACGCTTCAGTAAGTGAATTGTTAAATTGGTTAATAAGGTTCCATGGCATGTTCCTTGCGGTGGTGTTTGCTATGGAGATGGGAATTTGGTGTTCATTGCAAATGATTGGCATACTGCATTACTGCCAGTCTATCTGAAAGCATATTACCGTGACAACGGATTAATGAAATTCACTAGATCTGTTCTTGTCATTCATAACATAGCTCACCAGGTACATTTCCATTGTAAGATCGATTTCCAGAACAACTATATATCTAACAGTGTTTCCCTATTTCTTACCCTGCATTGTTGGTTCATGCTCCTATTTCAGGGTCGAGGGCCTATGGATAATTTTTCATATGTGGGCCTACCAAGTGAATACGCAGAACTTTTCAGGCTCTACGATCCATTAGGAGGCGAACATTTCAACATATTTGCAGCAGGTCTGAAGACAGCTGACCGTGTGGTCACAGTGAGCCATGGATATGCCTGGGAGCTTAAAACTCCAGAAGGTGGATGGGGTTTGAACGGTCTAATAAATGAGAATGATTGGAAACTGCAGGGGATTGTCAATGGCATAGATACTAAAGAGTGGAATCCCCAATTGGACTGTCACTTACAATCCGATGGCTATGTAAACTACTCCCTGGATACATTGCAGTCCGGCAAATCTCAGTGCAAGGCAGCATTGCAAAGGGAACTCAATTTGCCCGTCCGAAACGATGTCCCTTTAATAGGTTTCATTGGGAGGCTTGACCACCAAAAAGGAGTCGATCTGATAGCCGAGGCAATTCCTTGGATGATGGGTCAAGACGTGCAGCTGGTCATGCTAGGCACAGGAAGGCCTGACCTTGAAGAGATGCTCAGGCAGTTTGAGAATCAATACGGCAGGGACAAGGTCAGGGGATGGGTTGGTTTTTCAGTAATGACAGCACACCGAATAACTGCTGGTGCAGACATTCTACTGATGCCATCAAGGTTCGAGCCTTGTGGGCTTAACCAGCTCTATGCTATGAGCTATGGGACGATTCCAGTCGTCCATGCTGTGGGAGGTCTTAGAGACACAGTGCAGCCCTTTGATCCGTTCAATGATTCGGGCTATGGATGGACGTTCCAAAGAGCTGAGGCTAACCAGCTGATTGATGCTCTGGGCAACTGTTTATTAACATACCGCCAGTACAAGCAGAGTTGGGAGGGGCTCCAGAGGCGTGGCATGATGCAAGACTTGAGCTGGGATCACGCTGCCGCCAAGTACGAGGAAGTTCTTGTTGCTGCTAAATATCAGTGGTGATATCAGATATCAGTTTTACTATCATTTGGCCAGGAGTAACTTCCATCGCCTCTAGCCAGTCACTGCTTTGTATTTTGTGATATAGGCTCCTTTAGATGTCTGAATTGACATCAAATTTATCTTTTCTTGTAATATAATCCCTCCATCCACAAAGAACTTCACACTCTTTTTTCGAGTTTGGTACAAACGACATTGGCCACCAGTGTTATCCCAGGATGACCCTAGTCAATTTCAGCACCCCAGGGTGCTCCGTTTTACCCCGAAGTAGTTCTTACTCCCACCAACCCCCCATAAAACCTCGCACCGTAACCTGCCCCTTGCCCATCCGCCCATTACTCATTCAGAGATTTCCAAAAAAAGTAAGAAATCTACAGTATTTAAATAAGGCTAATATATTGAGTTTATTGAGTAATATTTTCATCCTCGAATAGGTAGACCTGACAATTGGGTCAATCGGTTTAGTTCCAGTTCGAGCCTATTTCGAATACATATTATAATCGGTTCAGGTCGGTTCGGTTCAATTCGGTCAAATTTAATTATGTTTGATTTTTTGCTGGTTTTGGTTTGGGTTTATTTCTGTTTGGTTTATATCGGTTTAGATTTATACTGGTTTTAAATCAGATTCCTTGGTGTTAGAGTTCCTAATGTTCGGCTTGTGGGTCAACCCCCCTCCTTGTGTGTAAAGAGGGTATATATACACATGTCCGCAATAATGAGTTAGTATATGTATTAATGCGTGTTACGATGTTACTATAAACTATTTATATTTTGTGTAAAATAGATATTCATTTTAGTTTAAGTGATGAAATACGGAATAAAAGATTTGTGCATGAAATTAGTTGTACCTATAATTTGAATATGTATTTCTGAAAAAGAACTCAACCAATGAGCTATTATGTTTGACAGGATTCGAGTTTAATTTGTTTTGAATTTGATCAATATTAGGTCTAATCGGTTTTAGATCTAATGAGTTTCAAGGCTAATCGGTTTTGAGTTTAATCGATTTGGTTTTGGTTTGGTTTGGATCATTTGGGTTGTTCGGTTTTTCAATTTTTGGGTTATTTTGTGTTTGGTTTTAGGTTATTCAGTTTGAGTTATCGGGTTCCGGTTTGTTTTGCCAAGTCTACAAATAAGAATGCTAAGGTTAGACCTGACAAAATAGAACCGAAATCGATTATTCGAATCAAATGATCCGAAATTGATAGAACCCAAAATCGATAAGATAAGAAACCAATAAGATTTGAAACCGATAATACAAAAATGACAATAAACATTATATCTATGTACATTAGTGAATAATTACATTTATGTGATTTCAAATTGTTACTTTTATTTTACTATTTCAACTAGTTGTATACTTATATTATGTATTCCTTTATGCATATGGTAAAAAAGAAAGGGAACTATAGTATATGACATTTCGAATATAACATGTGAGCAGGCTATAGAATACAGCATAATCAACATAAAATTAGTGAAACTTACATTGGTTGATCTATTGTTTTCACCTACTGCATTAAAAAAAAGTCCCTTGTCCTAAATTTTAGAATTTGCTGTAATGAACAGTTGAACACAAGGGAAATTAGCAAAGCAGAAATCGCTGATTCTTTACACCTCTTTACACATGTCCAATCATGGAAGTCTAAAGCGGTCCTTCGCATCTTGATTGGCAATCAGGAAATCCACCACAAGGCAAGGATGAATTGTCATTGTAGCAGACACATCTGTCATGAATTGATAGATAGAGACACATCACTAATATAAACAAATGAAATTAAATGGAATGTCATTAATCATTAGTCATTCATATAGAGACATGTCATTAGTAAGTTTTGCTGAGTGTTATACCAATGTTCAGAGACAAGCCATCTTGTACACCCAGAAAACTTGAATGGAACCCTCTGCATCCAAGAAAACCGCCTCCAACATCAGCACAGTTCTTCAGGTCATTACGCAAGAATGACTGTCTGACCAGCAAGCACCCCCCGGAGAAGAATGAATTAAAATGGGTTAATTACAGTTATAATAATAAACAACCAAGATTGGTCAAATACCCCGCATAGCATAACTGTTTTGCTGCATATTGTCTAAGGATGATATTCGAAACCCTAAGAGCTTCCTGGGAGCTCTTAGATTCTTGACCACGTAAGGCATTTGCAATTGCATGCATACGGAGACCCTACTCGAGGATATGTTCCAAAAAATCCTTCAATTTGACCTTATCTTTACTTTATTTTACTTTCTATATATTAAAAAAGTTGTCAAATTTTATGGTCCACTTCAATGAGTTCTGTAGATTTCAAGAATCTTCATCTCAATGTATTCGTCAAGTTTTATGGTCCACTTTCACTCATTGGCTGCAAAGCAAATCATCAAATTTACGCAAATGAAAGGGAAAATCCTGAAGGATATAGTACTCTAATTACAATATTCCCTCCTTCTCTAGAAAAGTTCCCATTTACTTTTTTTCGAGAAATTTAAGAAATATGAGAGGAATAATTTGAGCCACACAATTTTACCTTAAAGGAAATTAGAAGTTCTTCTTGTAAAAAAGGAAAGTGAAAACTTCGGGTGACAGAAGGGTAATATTGTGAAGGACACCTAGAAAAGTATAGTACATTCGACTTAGTTTGTTTGAACTCCATTTTGGTTAATGTAAATAAGTCTTCTCATGATGATAGTGTAACAAGGAAATGAATGAATGTTCCAGGAGGCAAATGTGTAATCCACTAAGGACAAATTTAGAAAGCAACAATAATAAGAGTGTTTTCTCATCTCTAACATTATGTAATATAGCAATACTAATTCACGATACAATATAGAGGGATGACAAAACAGCATAGAGAAAAACATATACTCCCTCCATCCCATATCTTTCTTCTCACTTTCTTTTTTGATCCGTTCCATTTGTTTCATTCTATTTCCTGAAATGGAAATAAAATACACTTAAAATGACTTTTTTACCCTCTCAATACGCTCACCCTTTTTCCATTATTCTGCCTTGTTTCTCTCCTCCTCTATCCACAGATCCACCATCGTGTTCCTCTCTCTAATTTTCTTCTCTCAAGTCCCCACTACCATCCCTCTTCTCTCCAAAGCATACCAACTCACCTCCAGCACCATATCCCCAAACTAAAACCATCCGTCCACCAATACTCATTCACCGTCAGTGAAGGAACGGCGACGAAGTGGCGTGGCGAATCTGGAATCTTTCTTTCTTCGAAGAGGGTGACAAAGGCGGAAGGTGTTGAAGAGAGGCGGCGGTAGGTAAAAATCTTAGATTTGTTTTTTGATTTTTATTTACCTTCTTCTCTACATCGCAGCCATCAATTTGATTTTCTCGAGTGGGATGAGTATCACTTTTGATTTCATGGTAGCCCAAGTGGCAAGCACTTGGTGAAGTTTGGAGAATGACCAAGGATCGAAACCTGGCAGCGACCGTGTGGGGGCGACCACCTCTGAAAAATGGGGGGAGTCTTTGGTGTGCACTAGGATATGGTCTAGCTAAGTGTTGTGCTTGGGTCACCGTGATTTACCTTCCCTCACATTCCCGTCGGGTCGGGGGTGAGGGGCGCCCGGGGTGAGCGATTTCACCTTTTTTTTGGAGAATGGTTTCAATTTTTATTTTGTTGAAGAAGATGAAGAGATTTGATTTTGATGAAGAAGCTGAAAAAAATTAATTTTGGTGAAAAAGCTAAAGTGATTTGATTTTGTTGAATATATTTGATTTTATTGTAGAAGAAGTAATTTCGGATTTTGGTGTTGATGTTGATGAAGAAGAAAACAAACATGAGAGACGAAAACAGATGACTGATTTGAGACACAGGATAATAAGGGGGGACAAATTTGGAAATTCAATGATTTTTTCACTTTACATTAAAACTCGTGCCAAGACAAAATGAGAAGTTTCAACTTAAATGGAGGGAGTACGAAACTTAGATAGCTAAAAACAATTCGATTATGATTAAACACTTGGTCTAGTGCATTCTATATCAATTGAAATAAGTAGCTGATTGAAATATAATGACATGCCAAAACCAACTCAATAATCAAAAGAGAAGACATTCATACCTGGACAATGAAATCTCCATACAGAAGTTTTTGAATTCCTCAATCTTTTATTAAATCAGCAGCATTATCCTTTAAAACAGCAACAAGTCGAAAACAAAGGGATGCATGAAACTAAATTATAGTACCAACTTCATGCTTAAACAGGGAAAAGCATAAATACCTCATTGGCTGGAAGACCAGAAAGAGCAAATGCAGAGTTATGTTGCAGAGACCCATTTTTTGAATCAAGAAGCTTTATGAAATGTGGGATGACAACACTATGAGCAATACCAACTTGATTGTGTGGATCCTGAATATGATAAAACAATCAAAATGCAGCAAGCAAATAAAAAATGTGAAATTTGGGGCAGCATTCTAGAAGCTAGATCATAAAATGAATATATGAATCATGTGTGCAATGCAAGAGGAAAAATTGTTTAGCCAAAAAAACTTATACAACAAGGTGTATCATCTTCGTATTTCTGTTAGCATACAATGCACTATGAAAGGGAGGGTCATCTGGATTGCTTACAACTCGTAGAACCTAAAGATGATTTAAAAAAAATTCAGGTGTGAGCATTACCTATGCTAGCCTTGCAAGTGCAAATGCTGACATCTCCCTCGATTGATCATCTGGAGATTGAAGGATCTCAATTAGAAGTGGCACAACACCTCTTTGGACAATGCGCGCCTGAAGGTATATCGATTGCAATCATGAGGTATAAGTATATTATCAACTGAAAGAAAGCAATGACCTTTTTTTGAATCAACCAGGGCACATCATGGGAGTCGACCTTACAGTCGGAATCTGTTGCAGCAAATTGCTCGGGCACCATTGTAGGATAAATGCAACAAAAATATAACAACGACAATACCAACACCAACAAGTTAGCACAACAAGATACGCGAGTACAACAACTAACACGAAAGCCGACACCAACACCCAAGCCAACACCACTGCAGAAACAAAAAAACTATCAACAACACCAGCACCAAATATCCAGCAACAACACCACCAATTAACAAAAATTTTAACCAAATTGAGCTATTTCAAAAACTTGATAAAATTCAGAACAAAAAAATGGAAAATAAAATTTACCCCTTTTCATGTCAATTTCAATCAAATTCAAAGTAACTTCACACAATTACAACTCTATTCACCAAAAATGCTATCAATTTGACACAAACACATCCAATTTCACACAAATTGACAATAAATAGCAATTGAACAAAATTAAAACAAAATTCTTAAAATTGAGGATTGGGGAGGCTGCTAGGCGACGGTGAACGGTGGATGGCCGACGGTGGGGTGGCGTCGCGTTGAGGAGGATGGCGATGTGGCGTTGGGTGGGACGGCGTTTTGAGGCTGAGAGGATGGGGGGCCACGTCAGCGGGCAACGAGGGGGTAGGCGAGGCGGCGGCGGGCGTCTCGGATGAGAAGGTTGTACCCCAATTTTACCCAGTTTTGCACCAACACACTATGCACCAACATTTGTTTTATTAACGCACCAACACTTGTGTCGGTGTAAACCATCGAAATGTTTGTGCAAACCTGTGGTGTACAAATAAGGTATATTTTATTGTGTAAGTATAGCATGGTTCTTTTTAGATAAAGGCTAGTGTTCACTTCAATTCAATTTTACTAAAAAAAATGTGTCGACTGCCCAACAAAAAAATCTAGTAGATTCTAAATATTCCCAAAGATATCGTATGTAAATATAAGGAGAATTTGCGTTTTTTGAAATAATACTTTCATTTCTATCATAACACCAAAGTTTTTTTTATGTAAATATGTAAATTTCTCGTATCAATATTTAATGTTAATATAATTCTGTATTGAAATTAGTTATTGGTGTTTATATTCATAGGTTTTTTTAAAGTTTAGAATATGTTTTAAAATGGTTAATAAATAGTCAAGACTAGTCAACAATTTGCATTTATATTTCCATGATTTTTTACATATCAGATGTACTCATATAAATAAAGTGAAATGACTAAGAAAGTTCGGTTTATTTGGTTCAATTCGGTTCCAAAGTGAAAACCAAAACACAAACAAAATAATAACGGTTCGATTTGGTTTTTTACATTTAGTTTCCATTTCTTCTAGCTCGTTTCGATTGATTTCGATTCGATTTACAGTTTCCGGTTTTCCCAACACAGCCCTAAGTTTTTTGCTTGTTAGTGTTTGGATTGAAATTTGAAAATAATATATTCCTGTTTGGTTCATTTTTGAAAAACAAATTGAAAAAATGATAAAGTTAAGATTCACACAAAATAATGGAAATTCTTGTTCCGACATTGCGAATCAGATTATGGAATGAGCAAAAATTCCACAAAATTAAAATAGAAATTCAACATAATATTGTAAAATATTGGAGATAGAAGACTCATTCTTTGTATCATACCTAGAGCTGGCAAATCGGTCGATCAGATCGGGTTTCGGTTCGGTCACTTTAAGTTCGGGTTATTTCGGGTTCGGGTCAATTCGGGTTCGAGTTGAGAACTGTATGTTCATGACCCAGTGTCATCGGGTTCGGGTCAACCCAACGGGTTATGACTTTAGTTTTTTAAATTTTTAAATTCACATTTACACTTACATTTTCTATTAAATAAATTTAAAATATCAAAAAAAATGTATTAAATCTATAAAATTATTTTATTTTAAACTTTGAAGTAATTTTTAGATATGCAAATCAATATAAGGAATTTAAAAATGTTTAAGTTTTAAAAAAAATAAGATAATTATGCAATATCATTAAAATTTTGTCCGAAAATATAAATTTATACACTAAAAATGAGTAGTAAAGTGTATGATTTTGAAAAAATTCTTACTTTAGCAGGTCGGTCAGGTTGGATTCGGGTTCGGTCGGGTTTGACCCATTTTTAGCGGGTTATTTCGGGTTTGGTCGACTTCGGGTTCGGTCATCAAAACCTTTGTTCAAAACCCAGTGTTTTCAGGTCAGGTTTCGGATAAAAAACTGGTCGGGTCATTTTTTGCCAGGTCTTTTCATACCCATCAATTGGAGATAGAAGATTCATTCTTTGTATCATACCCATCAATTGGCTGGAATTGATAGCCGCCAAGAGCTGTAGTTGCATTCATCGCATCAACCTCGTTGGTCTATTACATCGTGTATGGCCATCATGGCTACTCGCTTGTATCTTCTATTGCTACTTGTTGGTACCTTGCCATGACTAGAATTTGGACGAAGATGGAGGGGAAGTAGATCGGAAGAAGGAAAAGACAAAAGGCTTGAGAAGGTAGAAAAAAGTCATATCATCGAGATATTTATCTGTATGTAAAAATGACATCCTGATTTTGAAGGCAAAAGTTATTTTCCATATTTTAGAGCAGATTTTCCAATTTGACTCACAATATTTTCCATTTGATCTCATTTTCTAAGTGATGGTGTAGAACCAACATGAATACTAGAAATCAAAATAAGCGAAAGGCTTGTAGGTGGGAACATCTGTAACTCGGTTAGTTATTAATAATGTAGGGACCGTTTACAAGCTACAAGCCGTGTGGATTCTCAATTGTCTCCCCTTTAATTAGACTTTAAACCCATATTTATATTTATAATAAATACACTATTCATGTCAAATTACCCACTTGGGCTTGTTGAAAACAGGTAGGCAAGCGCCTCGCCAGTCTCCAAGCCTTCGACGGATTAAGTCACGATCTCCGAGGCCTGACCAAATTTCATCCACGTGGTCGGATTACCAGGGTTGACAAGATCTGGTGGGGCCAGACTTGGGCACCTCCCGGGTGCCTGTGAACTTGCCGGGTGGTACCAATAGGTTATACCCATCAAGGAGTCCTCCGATTCCTAGCTGTGTGGACACCATCAAGGGCGGGAATCAAATGCCCTAGTAATTTTGAATTTTGAATTTTCCGAGCGGAGTTGGCGGGAAAGATTTTGTGGAAATCAGTGCCGAATATATTTTAATTTCAAATTCTTGGGCGTGGCTAGGGGTGGACACAGTACGGTTCCGGGACGGTTCTGGTTCCAGAACCGCCGGTTCTGGTACCGCCACCCCATGGCACCGGCACCGTGACCGGACCGGCCGGTTTCGGTTCCGGTTCCCGGACCGGCAGTTCCGGTACCAGATCGACCGGTTTCGCCTCCCCCCCTGTTTTTTTGCTTTTTAAAAATTTTTTAAAGTGTGCCGATCTGTTGAAGACTAGTCCCCCCTGTGTGCCGATCTGTTTAAAGTGTGTCGATCTGTTTAATATTTTTTTTGCAGGCCACTTGTTCCTCCCGTTGAAGACTAGTCCCCCCCTTCCCTTTAATGTTTCCCTTCTTTGTTTTGCAGGTGGTTGGCCGATCTGTTGCAGGTCCAGGAAAAAAACAAAGTAACGGTACCGGTACCGTACTGGTACTGGCGGTTCCAGGACGAAAATTTGGGTACCGGTACCGGTTGGGGCAGTTCCGGTACCGGTTCCCGGAACCAGTGGGACGTGCCGTGCGACGGTGACGGTAGATGGTACCGGCGGTACCGTTCCCGATAACGGTACCGTGTCCAGCCCTAGGCGTGGCTGGCGGGAAAGACTTTACGAAAATCCGGTACGGCGTTGCCTAGTTGTCGCATCATTTCCCTTCTCGAGAGGTTATAGTTGCTAATTATTCTGGTTGCCACATGTCATTTTCCTATTGGTCCTGCTGGGCGGCACATTCCCTATACAAACCGAGGTTCCCCCACCCCCCCTCCTGTATTTCTCACTTGCAACTCACCTTCTACAAAAGTGCCTGGTTGAATCAGTTGTTCAACTAGTCCTCCGAGTCTTCCGAGTCCCAAGTAAGTTCACTTTCTCCCTTTCTTCACCTCCATTTTGTCGCCATGTCTGAGAACGAGGATAGCCAGAACGTTTCCGTTCACTCTTATGGTTCTGGCACCCGGTCTCAAGCCTTCAGTTCCCAACCTTCTTCCTCCCACTCTCTGTTAAGCCAGCGCCCGGCTTCTTCTAAACAGGAGAAGCTAGTTGACGCTGCCACCTCTCCTCCTTCTTCTTCCGCAGCCCAGGTGGTCACCATAGTCCGGCCCGTTGAGGAGGACTATGTCTGGCTGGATGACCGGCTTCATCATTTGTTTCCCTCCACAACGGTTCAGCCCTATGAGTCCATTACCACTCAATCAAGAACCTAGATGAATTATCCCTCCACCCTTTCAAAGTCCTTTTCTTCGAGTCCTACGGCATTATGCCAGGGCAGTTGGCCCTCAATGGCCATCCCATTCTTAGTAGCTTTATCAACATCTGTTGATTCCTTCGTATTCCCCTCTCTCTCCGTCTTTTTTATCATATGTTTGACATCCGGCCCGGGTCCAGGGAGACCCTTGGATTTGTGGTTGTGTCCTCTCATCGGGGACAGACTTTCCTTTCCGGTCTACCCCTTCAAACAAGGTGTGGAAAGGAAAATACATTGCCATCAAGTTTCCCCCCGGCGGGTTCCCTTTCGCCCGAAATGCCTGTGGGAAAAAACTTAAAGTCCAGGTCAAGCCTACTGCTTCAGATGACCTATCCAGCTGGGAAGCCATGCTCCGGGCCGGGGACACTTCCACCTGCAGCCCCATCAACTTGGGGAAGTGGAGTGTGTACCCTAGGCCGGGGTCTGATCCAGAGGCCGTAATCCTCCAGGGAGATGACATCCCAGAGGCCATCCCTCTAGGCCACGTCCCCAGCTCCACAGCCGGCAACCCCCCTCGCCGGGGGAAGAAGAAGGAAAAAGCTCCCTTTTCTTTTCCTTTTCCTTAATAATGTTTTCCTTTGAATCTTTTCCATTTTTTCTAATCCTTTCTCTTTTTGTCTCTGCAGTGGTGAAGTTCCACTCAAAGTTTTCAGTCCCAACCCCGAGAAGATCGCGGATGAATATTTTTTCCTTTGAAACTTTGTTATTAGAATTGCGTAATATTGATGTGAAGATCGAGGATGAAGACGCTGCCCTGATTCCGTTAGTATCTCTCCCAATATCGTTTGAGAATTTTGTTCAATCGTTCATTGTTGGGAAAGATACTATGTATCTGAAGAAGTTAGATCGGCCCTTCATAACAGGGAATTGCGGCATAAGGCTAACGGCATGAGTACAGAAGTACAGCCTTCCGGCCTATTCACTAGTACCGGAAAGGGAAAGAAAAATGGCAGAAAGAAGAAGGAGAGAAAGCCGTCGTCAAAGGGTGCAAAGCCGAATGATGTCTGTAATTACTTCAAGGAGAAGGGGCATTGGAAATTTGATTGTCCAAAGAAGAAGAAGCAATCCAAAAAACAATCAGTTTCTGCTACTGTTGTTGAAGAAGACATCAATTCTGAAGAAGACATTGCCTTAGTTGCTGATGAAAACACTCATCACTCAGATGTGTGGGTTCTACATTCTGGGGCATCCTATCACATCTGTCTAAGGAGAGAGTGGTTCACGACCTATGAGTAGGTAGATGGAGGGAGCATCTCGATGGCAAATAGTTCCGTCTGCAAGGTGGTTGGGACAAGCTCGATAAAAAAAAGGACACATGATGGTAGCTTC